CACTTAACAACTGTGTTACTAACTTAACAACTGCAGCGATTCTCTTAACAACTGTGGCAAGAAACTGGAAAATGGGGCAAAACTCTCTTAGCAACTGTCTCACTTAGCAGCAGAAATTTTGGGCACAATTACGGTCGTAAGTCAAGGACTACCTATATTTTTTTTAACAGGGAACATCTGTTCTTGAGCTAAACAACGTTGCCAAGAACGCCATCAGCACCTGAGTGAATGCCACAAATATTTTTTTTGCTGTATCCACCCTACCCCAAAAAAGTAATTAAACTGTGCAGCCATATGAAAGTGGCAACATCTTTAAATACGTATATCCGGAAGATATGTTCTTAACAATGTTATATTTCTTATCAGGATTTCCGTGCACTGAATGGCACAAAACATGCCCGTTACGGAAATATGGCATCAACAGATTTATTTATTTATTTATTTATTTATTTATTTATTTATTTATTTATTTATTTATTTATTTATTTATTTATTTATTTATTTATTTATTTATTTATTGTCTTTCGGGAATCTTCAGCGAGGTTAATTAAAATTCAGCCTCGAGATGTCACTGCTGGAGGCAAGTTTTATGATTTGCAAAGGAAGGGAAGAACTCGCTCTTGGTAGCTACAGTATCTAGATAACTCGAGGCTTCAAGAGGATGAGTCTTCTGACTCCCTGGCCCATGGGTCGGCAATCCGCGGCTCCAGAGCCGCATGCAGCTCTTTGAGCCTGCTCCTGTGGCTCCCATCCTCCTCTGCCATTTGCAGAGAGAGAGAGAGAGAGAGAGAGAGAGAGAGAGAGAGGCACTTGCGCTTCCCTTCTCCCCCCCCCCCTCTCTCTCTCTCTGTGTAAAAAAGAGTGGCCTCACCCTGTTCTCCAATGAGCTGACAAGCTTATTGGGCGGGGCTCCTGCCTTGGCTGCGTCTCTGCAGGAAGCAGGAAGAGCAGGAGAGAGCCAGCCCAATAAGAATGTGTGTCAGCTTGTTGGAGAACAGCTTGAAGCCAGCTTGCCAGGTGAGCAGAAGATTGGAGAGGGGGGAGAGAGAGAAAGAGGGAGAGAAAGAGAGAGAGAGGAAAGAGAGAGAGGGAGAGAGAAAGAGAGAGAGGGAGAGAGGGGGGAGAAAGAGAAAGAGGGAGAGAAAGAGAGAGAGGGAGAGAAGAGAGAGAGGGAGAGAGAAAGAGAGAGAGGGAGAAAGAGAGAAAAAGAGAGAGAGGGAGAGAGAGAGAAAGAAAGGGGGAGAGAGAGAGGGAGAGGAAAGAGAGAAAGAGAGAGGGGGAAGAGGAAAGAGAGAGAGAGAAAGAGGGAGAGAGGGAGAGGAGAGAGAGAGAGAGAGAGAGAGAGAGAGAGAGAGAGAGAGAGAGAGAACTTATGCACAGCAGCCTCTATTTCTTTTTAATTAAACTCTTCAATCAAGCCCCCCCCTTGCGCGCAAGTTTTGCGGCTCCCAGTGTTTTCTTTTCTCTGGGAAACGGGTCCCAGTGGCTCTTTTAGTGTTTAAGGTTGCGGAGTGATCGAGACCAATCAGATCTCAAGTGATCGATATAAAAAGAAAGAGGACGTAACACCAACTCACGGATAGTTCAATCTGATGCTTCTGACACTTTTGCTCAAGTCCAATCAAAATGTTTGCTTGCAGGATGGGAGACTTAGAAGGGAAGAAGGCCCGAGCTTTTATTCTGTGAGAATCCAAGGTCAGGCGGTAGGAAAGCTCACTACGGATTTCATCTGAATGGAAAAGAAAGAAGAGCTTCAAATCTTTCCTCGTGAACCGCTGTTCTTAGAAAAACGTCTGCTCTCAGTTCTCTCTGTCAGGGGAAGGACAGTAATTCCCTTCCCTTTATCTGTTCCAGCCCCATATTTTTCTACAGGCTTTCTTGAGAAATGATGGTGTCAATATTTCATCTGAATTTAATAAAACCGTGAGATTCCTGGTGCTCTCTGAGCTTGGTTGTTTTCTTGCAAATGTTTCATTACCCAACTAGGTAACATCATCAATGCTAGAAAGGGAGTGGGGCTTGCCTTGTCCGTGTCAATGGGGATGATCTTGGTAGCTCTGACTTGGTAGGTCCTTGATTGGGGTGTTGTTTACTGCCTGGTTGCTAGTCTAGTGCTAATCTTGGTGTTAATCTCTGCTTATCTGGGTGTTGATTGCTGGATAGGAGGTGTTTTGGTCTTTTTGTTTCTTTTCTAACTTTTGAGTTGTCTCTTTTGAATGGTATGTAGATGTTGTTTATCTCTATGTGCCTGTTGATGGCTGATTTGTCTCAGTGCGAGGTTTCCAGGAAGTCTGTAATGTTTTTTGGACTTGTCTAGGATGCTCACTGTTTCCCAGGTGAAGTCTGGCCCTGTGCTGTGCAGTTAAGGAGTTTTCATCATGTCTGCAAAAAAACAACCAAGCTCAGAGACCACCAAGGACTCCACAGTTCAATCCTGGGGTACAAATATTCTCTTCTAATCTATATAAATAAAAATGTAAATGTTTGTTTGTTCAAAATCTTAAATCTCCGAAGGTTCTTCACCGATTGCTTTGAAATTTTGACACAACGTTGCATTCGAATACGTGCGTGTTTTTATATACCTATATTATATAGATGTCACACCTGTGACAGGTAAAAACATGCTTTTTTTGAAAAACAGTGCCATCTGTTGGACGTAAAAGCAACACACACTTTTACCAGATTGAGCCACAGCAACGCGTGGCTGGGTACAGCTAGTATACTAATAATAATGACTAATCTGAGGACACAAGAGCCATCTTGCAAATATTCAACTAAATACAATTGGTGACAGATTATTTCTTTACTTTTGCCCAATATCTGCAAGGGAGAGGTGAGCCATGCTGGGAAAGGAAAGGAAAATATCAAAATGAAGAAGTTAAATGAAAAGTTAAAATAAGTGGCAACTGATATCTGTTAGGCCAGTCCTTTTCAATTTGACAACTGTAAGATGGATGGACTTTAACTCCCAGAATTCCATGCTGGCTGGGGAATTCTGGGAGTTGAAGTCCACACACCTTCAAATTGTTAAGGTCGAGAAACACTGTGTTAAATTCTTCAGTGCAGGAGAAGGCGTGTGGGAGATTCCCTCAGTAAATACGGAGAAATACCAGAAAAGATGGACCAGCAACATGGTGGTGGAAGCAGGGGGCCAATAAGAGGTCTATATCACATGCCTCTTTGCATATTGAAATTAACCAAGGGTCTGCCCTGCATGAGTTTGAAGGATGCGGACTGCTGTAGGACCCCGAAGGACTGCAGCATTTCCCATCACCTAGGAAATCCTGAGTGACTTTTGAAACAGTAAAGCACACTTCTGCCACGCTGGCCACATTCTCCTGAGATGTTGGCCTCTGCCACTGGAAGACTAAGGTTGGGATGGAAGATGGGTGGAATACGATGGAGACCTCCACTTGCAGAACAGGACGAGACCTGGAAGCAAGAAGAAAAGGAAAGATTATTTTCATTAAGATACTGTGTAATCAGGAATCAGCATCAAACATGAGCTAGCAAAAAACATCTAAGCCGATGTTTCTCAACCTTGGCGACTTTAAGACATCTAGACTTCAATTTCCAGAATTCCCCAGTCTGTCTGTCTTCCTTTCAGTTGGAGAATTCTGGGAGTTGAAGTCCAGACTTCTTAAAGTTGAGAAACACTGATATAAACTGAGGGTGCATTACACGGCCACTGGCTTTACTCCCCAATCTCTGAGGAGCATTTTCTTACCACGTAGCAAGTGACCTCATTGGTGTCAACCTTACTATCCTCACTTCTTCCACTGGGTCAAACCATGCTCCCTCCAGCAGCAATGACGGGTTTCAAAAACTGGCTTTAAGCCAATGTCCCCCCCTCCTCCAGTTTCACTATTGTCTTGTTGGGTTGGTGAGAAAACCACCATAATAGATTTGCTAGTTTCAAAAGCAGAGGGCCTTCAACTTCTGCAGAAGAGTCCGAGCCCATGGAACCAGAAGACAAGATAAATGGAGGGGGTCCTGCCAATGGGAAACTGCCTAACTTGTAGACCCCTTATGTTTATGATAACATTTTCTCCAATGTAGCAGCTCAGCATTACATTCACCAACCTGTTCTATCCAGCCTATTGCCGTCCTTGTTAGAGGCACAAGGACCAAACCCCTGCTGATACAATAGGCTGGAGACTTTAAAACAAAACAAAATCCCTTTTATTTGGGTGACAAACCTGTCAATAAGTCCAAAACACAAACAGCAAAACTCAAGTCCAAAGGAAGGAAATAGTCCACAGGAACACGTTGCAAACAAGATGATTCCATCGCTGACGATACATAAGTGGGTTTTGGGTTGCAGTTTGGGCACTCGGTCTCTAAAAGGTTTGCCATCACTGACCTAGCCTTTCCTTTCATTGCATAAACCAGGGGTCCCCAACCCCCGGTCCGTGGACCAGTACCGGGCCCCGGCATGCCAGCAACCGGTCCGCACAAACAAGCAAAGCCCCATCTGCGAGATTTAGGCAGCACACAAAACCACACACCCTCCGGTCCATGGAAAAACCTCTCTCCACAGAACCGGTCCCTGGTGCCCAAAAGGTTGGGGACTTCTGGCATAAACCACCATTTCTAGAATTCCCCAGAGAGAATAATCCCCATTTGGGGTTTACTGCATAAATGCAGGGCTTTTTTTGTCATAAAACACCCAGAACGGAGTTCTGGCACCTTTTTTGGATGGAACCTTGTAGGGTAGGCAAGGCGGGTTGTATAACATGTGTGAGTTCCGGCACCTTTTTTTTTTTTTTTTTTTTTACAAAAAAAACACTGCATAAATGGATCTTGAGTGTTTCACAATTCCTGGCACATATACATTTTTATGTCAAGTGTGACACTCATTTCAAATATTTGTTTGCTGTATTGGAGATCAGCCTTCGAAAAAATATCAAGAAATATAGGTAGTCCTCGACTTACAATGGTAAAGGAGCCTGCCCAGTACGGTCATAAATCAGGACAGTTGAAACGCCAGGGTTGTTGTAAAGCAACTGTCACAGATGTCAAGCAAACCAATTGCTCGCTAAGGGCCAGTTTTGCCAAAAATCAGAAGTAAATGCTAGTTTTCGGGAAATTTGTTGTAAAACGTTGTTCATATGAACACAGGATGCTGTGAATGCAAACTGGTTGCTAATTGCCCAAATGCAGACCAGAATTTCAGAACCAGGTCACAAATAATGTGGGTAACTTCAGAACTCCAAAGGGTCACTAAGCAACCAGTCGTAAAGCAAGGACTACCTGTAATAAAAGCAAAAGTTTCTCCTCAACCTGATTTACAATATATACCTGGGAATTTCTGAGCAGAGGTTGGAAATCATAGAAACTCTAGAGCTGTCCGTCTTCCACCGTCATTTATTCCCTGCTTCATAGACCCAGGAGTCTCTTACCTTAACAAGACAGATGTGAACCCTTCCACCTGCAGTGGCATCGTAGTACATGGGAGCGCCAACCAGAACTAAATCTGTGCTTGTGTCTTGATTGAGGTCCACTGGGCACAGAGTTGCCCCAAAGTAAGAACCAACCTGTTGCATCAAATAATCACCTCTTAATTTCATTCTCCTTAAAAAAAAATGGAGCAAGATTCATCATTTGCATATTTTATGTTCTAACTGCTAAGGTAACCAACCGTCCTCCTTTAGGGAGGACAGTCCTCCTTTTGTGAGTTCTGTCCTCCCTCAAAAAGTGTCCTCCTACATGTCCTCCTTTTCGATATTTGAAGACTAATCTACAGGGCTTTTTTTTCTCATAGAACGCTCAGAACGGCGTTCCGGCACCTTTTTTTGATGTTTTTTTTTTCAACTTTTGCATGAGCTGTGCTACTCCCCTTATTGGCTTTCAAAAGCCAATAGGAATTGCTGCTGAGCGCACCAAAACACCCGGCCGGCAAACTTTGCACATGTAAGTTGTCTGCAGCAAAGGCAAATTGGCAGGAACTTTGCACCCCTCCCTGCTACCCAACTACACCATCTCCTACCTGGAGGAGACTGGAGCGGCGACGCCACGGTAACTTTCTCTTGATTTTCAGCCCTGCAAGGGCAATAATGGCTGTGGGTGCAAGAGGCAGGGCAGCAGGGCTGCTGCAGGCGGGGGTGTGAGGGGCGGCAGTGGCCAGCTTTCCCCGTGCTGTGGGAGCTGCGGGGCCTGCTCTACATGGGGCTGTGCAGGGTGGGCGGTGGTGCTGGCGGGGCGGCTGCAGGCGGGGTATGTCGATGGCGGGCTGCCCCCCGGGGCCAGAGCTGGTGCAGCTGGTGCTTTGGGAGCTGCGGGGCCCACTCTACATGGTGGGGCAGCAGTGCTGGCGGGGTGGCTGTGGGTGGGGGCGCGGCATGTAAGCATAATTACAATATAAAATGTTATTGTTACAAAATTTTTATTATGCATTTATCATATTATAGTGTATTCTGTATCATTGTTGCAATGAATAAAATGTTTCTTTTATTTACGATATTTTTTTCTTCAATTTATTTGTGTCCTCCTTTTCATTGTAAAAAAGTTGGTCACCTTATAACTGGGCAGAAGCCGAGACGTTACTGCCCGAGGCATGAAGTATTATGTTTTTGAAGAATCTAATCTTCAGGCCTGCAACAATATGTTATGAAGCAAGTAGGCCATATCAAGGACATTTTCAGAAATTTAGGGCCCTTCTCTTTGGTTCTTTGCAGCCCTCTAAAACAGTGTTTCTCAACCTTGACAATTTTAAGGCATGTGGACTTCAACTCCCAGAATTCCACAGCCAGCATTGTGGAATTGTGAGAGTTGAAGTCCACATGCCTTAAAATTGTCAAGGTTGAGAAACACTGCTCTAAAATCAGCTGTGTTAGTGTTTGGCGGCTGAACTTCTGGCAGCTCAACCGAAAACAAAGCAAAGATTTCTTTATCTTTCGGCTATGAAGCTCTCTGCAAAGCTGGGAGAAATTCCCTTTCCCATTAGCAGGGATTTTTGCCTCTCTGGAAAGAGATTAACCAGCAGAAAGATGAACCTTTCAATCTGAGACTTAAAGTCAAGCTATGACAAGTATTTAATGGCCTGGTAAGTCCTGGTATTTTGGAATTACCAGCCCCATTCTCTCCCCACAGCACCTCCATCTTGGTTGGAATTATGGAACTTTTTATATCAACACATCTTGAAGCTGTAATGGAGTGATCCAAGGAGACATGCCAGGAAGATTTAGTATCTATGGAGTATTTATCAGACAAAACTTGTGCTTTTGTCTCCAGCGTGTGAAAGCCTGGAGAACCAAGGTCAGATATATATATATATAGAGAGAGAGACTGAGACAGACAGATGCATTTCATAATAACATCTGAACACTGTCAGCTGCCTTTTTTCTGACAACTGATCCACTCTCAGCCCATTGGGAGACAGAGGCAGGAAAAAGATGTAAGATTTGAACCTTAAGATATGTGTTCATAGACAGGTAGTCCTTGACTTATAATCATTCGTTTAGTGACTGTTCAAAGTTACATCACTGAAATAAAGTGACTTCTGACCAGGTTTCACACTTATGACTGTTGTAGTGTCCCCGTGGGTGTGTGATCAAAATTCAGAAGTTTGGCAACTGGCCTGTATTTATGACCGTTGCAGTGTCCCGGAATCATGTGATCACCCTTTCGCGATCTTCTGACAAGCAAAGTCAATGGGGAAGCCAGATTCACTTAACAACCATGTAATAACTTAACACTTGCACTGATTCACTAAACAGCTGTGACAAGAAAGGTTGTAAAATGGGGCGAAACTTACTTAACAACCGTCTCGCTTAGCAACAGAGATTTCAGGCTCAACTGTGGTCATAAGTCGAGGATTACCTGTATGTGCCTTTGAACCTTTGCTCAATAGCCTTCATGGCCGAGTAATGCTTTTTGGGGGAACCTGATGCACAGCTTCTTTCAGAGGTTTTATCCGCATTCTTCAATCCCTTTGGAGTTCTTTTATCTCAGTTCGTACCTGCTCCCCTACTGCCTCCATCTTCAGCAGCCATTCCCCACTCAGGGCTTCATTCTCAAAGTAGACAACTTTGCCGATGTGGTCATAGCGAGGGGCTCCCACAACCAGACCATTCCTCCCGTTGAACCGGACAGGCTGAGAAGAATAGCCTAGAGGGGAGACAAGACAGCTAAAATAACTCAAATGATGGTAGAATAATCTTTAAACTTATAGTCAAGCCTGGGATGCATTTATTTGGAGGTAGTCCTTGAATTCTGACCACATTTGGGACCGAAATTTGCATTGCTAAGGAAGGCAGTTATTAAAATTGGTCATGCCCAATTTTAAGACCTTTTTTTTTTTTTGGCTTCTAAGCAAATCACTACAGTTGTTAGGTGAATAATGTGGTCATTAAGCGAATCTGATTTCCCCCATTGATTTTGCTTGTCAGAAACTAGCTGGGAAGGTCTCAAATAGTGATCACGTGATCCTGGGATGAACACAATGATCATAAATGCATGCTGGTTGCCAATTGCCCAAATTTTGATTGTGTGACTACGGGGATGCTATGCAGTGGTGGGATTCAAATATGCGAACAACCGGTTCTCTGTGTGGATGCCGCTTCCGGAAGTCCATTCTGGCCCTGGGCGACAAAAAATTAGCTACCGATTCTGCCAAAGCGGTGCGAACCGGCTGAATCCCACCACTGATGCTATGATAGCCATAGGAGTGAAGACTTTTTCCAGTGCTGTTGCAACTTTGAACGGTCGCTAAACAAGTGGTTGTAGGTGAAGAGCTCCCTGTAGTGTCTCAATTGAGGATTGCGTCTTTTTTTTTTAGACATGAAAAGTAAAGTTTGTCAAAATCTAGTTACTGACTATTCATTAAAATTGCAGCTTCTATGTTCTAGATCGGGGTAGGCAACCTTGGCTCTTTTATGACTCGTGGACTTCAACTCCCAGAATTCCTGAGCCAGCCATGCTGAGGGGAAAGGGAGAGGTTTCCAAGCTGAGCCATGCTGGCTCAGGAATTCTGGGAGTTGAAGTCCACGAGTCACAAAAGAGCCAAGGTTGCCTACCCTTGGTCTAGATGTTTGAGATTGTAGACAAAAAAGAAGAAGACACGAAAAGTCATAATACGTCAAAGAGCTGAGGTTGCAAACCCGAGTAACTTTTCAGAGTGTCATTAAAGTTAGAGAGAATTTTAGAGCATCGTCTCGCTAGCAGGATCCCGCATTTTGGGGGACCACGGAATGAATTCAGAATTTTGATAGCATGTTATAGATGGCACTCTCTAAAAATAGTTACGATGGGCAGGATCGACTGCCAAACATGTGCCATATTTAAAGGCAAACGGCAGGTCATCCTCGACTTTGCAACCATCCATTTAGCAACTCTCTGAAGTTACAATAGCACCGAAAAAAGTGACTGACAAGCAGTCCTTGCATTTACCATCAGAGCAGCACCTCCACAGTTACGTGATCAAAAGTCAGACATCTCAAGGATCACATGACTGCCTCGGTGGCCTTCCCGGCTGGCCTCTGACAACTGAGGTCACTGGGAGGAAACAGATTCACTTAAGGACCGCATAATTCACTTAACAACTGCAGTGATTTGCTTAATATCTGTGGTAACAGAGGGTAATAAAATTGGCATGACTCACTTAACAGCCACCTACCATCAAAAAAAATTTCTGGTCCTAATTGTGGTCGTAAGTGTAGGAATTCCTGTAGTAACTTGCTTTCTAACATTGAACTGAATGGAAACTCGTCAAATCTGGTTAGAAGAAAGCCTTGTATAGTCCAAAATAATAGAGATAATTATTAGAATTAGAATTATTAGAATTAAAATTAGAAATATTAGAATTAGAATAATTAGAATAATTGGAAATGGAAGTGGAAGTAGAAGTAGAAGTAGAAGTAGAAGTAGAAGTAGAAGTAGAAGTAGAAGTAGAAGCAGAATTCTTTATTGGCCAAGTGTGAGTGGACACACAAGGAATTTGTTTCCGGTGCAGAAACTCTCAGTGTACATACAAGCAACAAAGTGATAAATCATGATCATAATCATCATAAAATACATTCATCATAAATCATAAGATAAAACACTCAGTATAGTCATAGGATACCAAATAAGCAATCAACATAAATCATACTAGGGTATTAAATAAAACGAGTAATACAAATAATAAGATACAAGCAAAACGAGTCTAATTATAATAATTTCAGAAGAACGCCTTATTGGAAAGAGAGGGGGCATTGTCAACCAATCAGTTGTCTCTGAGGGAGATGCACAGTCATAGAATATGCTGGAGGGCGTGAATTTTGGGATTTATTTCTTACCAAGATAGGAATTATTCATATCTTTGAGGGTGCTGGATATATTAATAAATTCTGGATCTCGGTTACTGGTTTGATATAGAGTCAATCCTCCAGACCAGTCGTAGGCTCCCACAGCTCCAAGGACAGGGCCTTGCTAAATCACAGCAAAAAGTTAGAATAAGAATACAAAATCAACTGAAAAAAATAAAATAAATAAAAACAACAGTTAAGAAAAGATTAACTACCTATTGTTGCAAGTTGGTACAGATCGTCTTCAATTTATGACCAGCGGCTTAGCAATTGTTTGCAGTTATGACAGATCCCCAAAAATGGACTTATGACCTGGATTTGAAGTCCTGACATCCAGACCTCTTCCCAGAATCATGTGATTGTATTTTGGGCACTTGGCAAAAGATTTGCATTTATGACTATTTGCAACACCCTACGGTCATGGGGTGCAGTTTACAATGTTTTTTGTTAGAAACCTATGTGACAAAAATCACCCCATAGCGAACAATGGGTTCACTTAACAATTGCTGTGTTTGCTTAACGACCACTGCAAAAAAGGTTGTAAAAGAGACCAGTCACATGGTGACCCATTTATGACCGTCATGACTGGCCTAAAGTCACCCTTTCATGGTTAAAGTAGGACTTGAACTCCCTGTCTCCCACTTTCTAGCTTCATGACTTAACTTCCTAGACCAGGGGTCGGCAACCTTGGCTCTTTTATGACTCGGGGACTTCAACTCCCAGAATTCCTGAGCCAGCATGGCTCAGCTTGGAAACCTCTCCCTTTCCCCTCAGCATGGCTGGCTCAGGAATTCTGGGAGTTGAAGTCCACGAGTCATAAAAGATGACCTAGACCAAGCTTGTTCTAATATCCACCCATTGCTTTCTCACATACCTTCCCTCCCCCCCCCAAAAAAAACCATTGAAAACTTTGGAAAAATATGCATTTTCATAAAACATTTCTATAAAGCTAAGCTATCTCTGGCCATTTCAGCAGTATAGTTTAATCTGAGTACTGGTCATTTTGAGCAATGTTCCAGTATAGAACTTTTTAGTTTAAGATTTCGGGGGCTCTTGGAGAAGATAGAAATCGTTACGGTATTGAGGGTAGGAGAGAGAAGGAGAAAAAGGGATCATTCATTCTCCATCACTAAGGATCTTCTAACAGATTGTCGCCAAGAATGCAGTGGGTGGAAGCTCATCACAGGGAAATTCAACATAAAATAAGGAGGAATTTCCTGAGTGAGCATGATTAATCAGGAGAATAGCTTGCCTCCTGAAGTTGTGGGTGCTCCATCTCTGGAGGTGTTCAAGAAAAGCTTAGACCAGGGCTTTTCAACCTTTTCACCCATTGTACCACTTTTAGGATATGGCAATATCTGAGTACCACTAGTTGCCTAGCAAGCTGTCAAAAACTTGATGACCCCCCCCCCCAAAAAAAGGAAAAAAATGATAAAGTACAGGTAGTTCTCGACTTACAACAGTTCGCTTAGTGACTGTTCGAAGTTACAATGGCACTGAAAAAAGTGCCCCCCAAGCCACAGCCGAGCAAGACACCTGCCTGCCCACCCGGCGGCACTCTTCCTCCTGTCCGAGGTTTTCATTGTTGTGAGCATTTCTGTTGAGGATTGGCAGCAGGGGTGGGGTGGGGGGGTGTTTGGTTTTTATTACCCCCGTCTGCTGGGTGGTTGCAGCAGGTTTTGGTCACTTCACATGACCCTGGGACACTGTGACCGTCATAAATATGAATCAGTTGCCAAGCATCTGAATGTAAATCACAAGACCCTGGAGATGCTGCAACATTCCAGCTGATTGGCGCTTCTTCTGAGCTCAGCAGAAGCGCCAGGATCAGTGCTGCTTTCCAGCTGATTGGTGCTTCTTCAGGACTCAGCAGAAGCACCACGATCAGTGCTGAGCTCCAGCTGGAGCCTGGCGCTGATCCTGGCGCTTCCACTGAGCCCTGACAGCCCCGAAGAAGCGCTGATCCTGGTGCTTCCGCTGAGCCCTGACAGCCCGGCAGCTCCAGCCATCTCTCACTCAGGCTTGTGCGGTGCTGCCACCGGTTCAGCTCATTCCCCTCCCCTGCTACCACTTTTCTAGGATGGTCGCGTACCACCTGCTAGGTGCCACTGTACCACAGGTGGTACCCATACCACTGGTTGAAAAGTCCTGGCTTAGACAACAATTTGTTGGGGATGGTATAAGGATTCCTGCCTTGGGCAGGGAGTTGGCTAGAAAATCTCCAAGGTCCTTTCTGGTCTTCTGATTCTATGATTCTATTTGTTGTTGTTGTTAGTTGCGAAGTCGTGTCCGACCCGTTGCGACCCCGTGGATAACGTTCCTCCAGGCTGATTCTATACTGGGCCCCAAAACACTCACCGGGATCAGCAGGGCACTTAAACCTTCCTGGGACATTTCCATCTGGAAGGAACTGCTACTTTGGAACTGGGTGCCTACGGGGAGACAACGACAGCAGGCAAACGGGACAGAATGTCATCAGTAAGGATATGGAAAAAATTGCATGCTCTTGTTTCAGTCAGGAAAACCGACTAAACGGATAACTGAACAAATCAATGCAGAGTTTTCACTCCAGGCACAAACGGCTAGATTCAAACGATCCTACTTTGGACATATTATGCAAAGGCTGAGCTTTTTGGAGAAATCCATAGCACCAGGAAAGGCAGAAGGAAAGAGAACAGGGTAACCAGAAACAAGGTGGACTTAGTTATATGGTAGCAATGGGAACATTGTTGATCTGAAGGACATGTTGGGGGTACATCCTCCTAGAGTAGTTTTTTTTCCCCAACCTTGGCAATTTGAAGATGGTTGAGCTGCAACTCCCAGAATTTCCCAGCCAGCCATGCTGGCTGAGGAATTCTGGGAGTTGAAGTCCCACCCATCTTCAAGTTGCAAGGTTGAAAAGCAAAGCTGGCTGAGGAATTCTGGGAGTTGAAGTCCCACCCATCTTCAAGTTGCAAGGTTGAAAAGCAAAGCTGGCTGAGGAATTCTGGGACTTGAAGTCCCAGACGAGTCTTAAAGTTGCCAACGTTGAGGACCCCTGCTGTAAAGCACCATGGGGTGGTATATAACAGGGCTTTTCAACCTTTTCATAGATTGTAGCACTTTTAGGACATGACAATATTCAAGTACCACCAGTCGCCTAGCAAGGTGTCAAAAACTTGACTATAAAAGGGGGGGGATTGGGTTTTACTGACGAGATTGATTTGTTGTTATAGAAATGGCTAGTTTATACTATTATGGAAAAGTAAAAAGTTGAGGTTCGGTGTTAATGCTTCATTCTACTGCAACAGGGGACGTCAAGGAATTCAGTGCCTTTTCTTTTTTCTTTTTCCCGTCTTCCCCTCATTTTTCTTTCCCTTTTTCCTCCCCACTGTGTCCCACTATCTGCTTTTGTATTTTTCTATTTTATTCTTTAACCTAATAAAATGTTTCACGTAAAAATGTGAGATGGCTTATATGGGAAAAATAGAATTAAGTCTGTCAATGTAAACATAACTAATTGCTGAGAAAACCTTTACCAGTAAAAATATTGAGAATTTGGTGGGAGAAATAAACTAAAATAAGGATTGTAACAGGATCGATGATAAGGCAATCCAAATGACTGAAAAGAAAAGAAATGTATTAACATGATGATTATTTTTTTAGGAATATTGGAAAAAATATATACTAAATTGTCATTTATTAAAACAAT